TTTTTTTTTTTTTTTTTTTTTTTTTTTTTTTTTGGAGGGGTGAAATGGACCTTACTAGGCTAGCCCTGCAGTTCACTATGAAGCCCAAGCTGGCCTGCAATGCACTACAGAGCCCACCGTGGCCTGGAATTCACTGCAAAGCCCAGGCTGGCCTCTAACTCTTCATTCCTGCCTCTAGTTCCTCAGTGCTGAGCTTGCAGGCAAGCACCACCATGCCCACAGACTTCAGCGACTATTTATTTATTCATTTATTTTTATTTCATGTGTATATATTACATTTTATTACATGCCTGCATCAGATCCCCTGAAACTGGAGTAACTGATGATTGTTAACTGCCATGTGGGTGCTGGGAATTGCACCCAGGTCCTCTGCAAGAATAGCCAACGTTCTTAACTGCTGAGCCATCTCTTCAGCCCCAGACTTTAGTGACTCTTAATGAGCATCCTTTGTGTGTGTCTCAGCATCCATAGATGAGTCTGTATTTCCTTCTGAAATCTTGAACTAATTATTGTCAAACTGTTAATTTGGGGGTAGGGCTCATCACTGTTTGCTTTAAGCCTAAAAAAATGTGCAGATACTCTGGAGAATTCAAATTTATTTCCACTTACTTTTCTAAATCTCTACAATTTTGACAAGTCCATTTGTTATTTCTCTCAAGTTATAACTTTGTTTTCATAGACTAAACATGTAAAAGGAAATTGTATCATTAATATATATTTATGTAACCTGACTCATATTAATTTATTGTGCCTCGCTCTTTTAGACATATTTTCTCCCTAGAAAACAAAGAAATGTCTGCCTCACTTATTATTTAGAATTCTCCTGCTAATATCCTTTGTATAGAAAGTTTGAAGACGAAAGAAATCAGAATTACTTGTGTTAAGAATCTGTACATCCTCACTGCAGGCTCTCTGTATCCAACCAGCATGGGAATTGGAGACGAGGGACGCTTGGCCGTGAACTTCAAGACAGAGGCTCAGTTCCATGGCCTGTTTGTGCTGTCACATCCTGGTAAGCCCTGCTGTCTGTGAGCATCCACTCCCCGTGGAACAAGCATGTCAGGCTTCTGTGTCCACACAGATTTCAGTACTCTTCTGGATGGTTTTGAATTATCTCTCTTAAGATAGAATTATCTCTTTGAAGCTTGATCATCATTCTAAATTATCCCTACACAAACTTTTAGAGAACATGCATCACAATTCATGTAAAAGAAAACCTTATTGACTATATTTTAAGGAGAATTTTCCTTAAATAACATACTTTATGGCCCTTTTCTGTGATTTGTTTTGCATTTCAGTATTTCAGTTGATTCATTTAGCCAGCACTTTTCTGCTCATAGCTTTTGCTAGCTACTGTGAGGAACTTTATAACAGAAGTAGACGTGGTACTTTGCTATCATACTCATGTTTCAGATATGTTAACTCTGCTTTACAAAGATTGGCTAAGCAATTTTCTCCCTCTGATTGGCTCTACTTTGAGTATTAATAAGGTATCAGTAAATTCCATGATTGCTTGTTTTTAATATTTTATTTATTATTTTTATTTTATGTGTATGACTGTATTGCCTACATGTATGTAATGCACTCGTGTCATACAATTCCCACGGAGGCCAGAAGAGGGCATTGAATTCCCCTGGAATTGGAGTTACAGACAGTTGTTAGCCGCCATGTGGGTGCTGAGACTAGAACCTGGGTCCTCTGCAAGAGCAGCCAGTTCTCTTAACTGCTGAGCCATCTCTCTGGTTCCAGCTTGTTTGTTTTATTTTTTAAATTATTTTTATTTTATTTTATGTGTATGAGTGTATTGCCTGCAAGTATGTAAGTGCCTGTGTTGCACAATGCCAGTGGTGGTCAGAAGTGGGCATCGGATCCCCTGGAGCTAGAGTTACAGATGGCTGTTAGCCACTATGTGGGTGCTGGGAACTGAACCCGGGTCCTCTGCAAGAGCAGCCAGTGCTCTTAACTGCTCAGCCATCTCTCTAGCCCCAAGCTTGTTTCTTTTTTCTTTTCTTTGACTTTCCATATTAGCAAATTGGTAAGTGTGTTTTACTGCAGTGCCAACTACCGTCAAGATTGAAAAAGGAAAGACATTCACTTACCATCTTCACATCTGCCCTTTTCTTGGGGTTCAAGTTCTAAAAAAGGAGAAAATAGAGATGAATAGTCAAGAAGAAAAGAGGATCTATTATATTTTTTACCAGATTGAATTACAAGAAACTTGGGACCAAGAAGAATCATATGCCTTTGTTACGATTAGCAATTCTGAAAAGCAAGGATTTCCTGGTCTTTATAATCTCTTCCAAATGTCCACCTTCCTAATAAACCCCACCTTTGATTAGCCCCAATTGCAGGCAATCTAATTAAAATCGCATTCTATTCATGAGATGACTTTGCCAGGTGCGCGGATGCTAACAGAGTATTTTAGGTTCCGCTCAAGGCTGTACAGGTTTTTTTTGTGTGTGTGTATACGTGTATTGCCTGCATATAGGTAAGCGCACGGGTGTCATGCAGTTAAGAGGCCATCAGATCCCCCGGAACTGGAGTTACAGACAGTTGTTAACTGCCATGTGGGTGCTGGAATTTGAACCCAGGTCTTCTGCAAGAATAGTCAGTGTTCTTAACCGCTGAGCCATCTCTCCAGCCCTCTGCTGTGCAATTTAAGCATTCACCTCAACCTCAGTTGTCCTGCACTCACTCCCTGGAAAGTAACCCTTAGCAACTGGATTTCTGCAGAATTACCTGTTTAATTTTTTTTTTTATTGAGCACATTTCATACAACAGTTCTTAATCAAATTTAGGTCCCCTTCTCCATTCATGCCCTCCACCCCCACCCCCATCCAACCTCATGTATTCTGCCATACATGTTAAGTGCTATACAATCTAGCATTTGTACCCAGATGTCCTTGGGTGCAAATTCATCCACTGGCATCTAGTCAGCATATCTAGAAATCGTAAGTTAGGCCTACTTGCCATCATCCGGTAGTAATCAGTCTCTAATTGTTCCCAGACTAGGACTAGCCCACCACCCATTTCCCTAGCTCCACTCTGGGCCCTTGTCTGATTGAGTGGGCATGGGTCCTATTCTCGATGCCACCACTGCCACAAGTTCACATGAGCAAGCTTCCAGTGGCCTGAAAGCCTCTGCTTCCCTATGTTCATGGACCAACCCTGACTCTTAACAACTTTTCTGCTGTCCCCCTTCCTCAATGGTCCCTGAGTGGGAGAGGTTTAATATAGGAGTCCTATCCAGGGACACGTACTCTGCAGTCTCTTAGTCTTTAAAAGCTGGCCAGCTGAGGCCTTCTGTGTATATCATGCTTCGTTGTATAAGGAAGCTTCACTGGTTAAAGTTGAGGGCTGCACTAGTTTTCTCTCTGCCTCCCATTCTACTATGTTCCATCAACCTTAGGTGTAAAGGTTCAGCTGTAGATATGTCACCTAGGACTGGGCATCTCACTCTCTCTGTGTTCCTGTCATTGCCACAATTACTTTTTGATTGAATTATAGAGCAGGAAAGACACTAAATTAGGAGTCCAAAGTCACCTACCCTCCTAGGTAATCTTGGGAGAGTCATATAGTCACTCTGCCCAGTTTTTGTGTCTTCAAATGAGCTCATCTACCCAGCAGACTTGTAAAACAGGTGATATGTTACTTTGAAAACTACACGATTGTGCACTTTTTTAATTTCACCACCAGACCTTGATGACTTTTGGTATATTTCTAGCTTCCTTTACCCGCTCAATGATCATGTCAGCTGACCATCCAGCCCTCACCTTTTCCCTCCGCCTCATAAGGAGTCAACCAACCTATAACCAGCCGATCCAGCAATGGAGCTTTGTGTCTGACTTTGCAGTAAGTGACTGAGACCTTTCCGTGCTGCCTTCTCATCACTGGGCACATTTCACATTGAAAATGGTTTTTGGTTTGTTTTTTTTTTCCCTCCTCAAAGGTCCGTGACTACTCAGGCACCTATACTGTAAAGCTGGTGCCGTGCACCACCCCATCCAACCAGGAGTACCGCCTGCCAGTTACCTGCAACCCCAGAGAGCCTGTCACCTTTGACCTTGATATCCGATTCCAGCAGGTGTGTCTCAGAGGACTATGGTTCAAGTCACAAAATCCTACTCATTCAAAGTCATGGTTTCTTTGATCAGTACATGTTTCTTCACACATGGGTGACTGTAATTCTTGCATACTAAGAGAAAAGGAAGTTGGACAGGAAGGAACCAAGGAAGAGGGTAAAGGAGAAAGGAATAGTCTTTTATCTCTTGCTAGTTCGGGACATCAAATCTATAGCGTAAGTTCCTGTAAGAACTTACGCAATTTGCTATCTTGAAGGTCTGAGATTTTTCTTGTTCTTAGTTATCAAGGAGTATAAGAATCCTGTTGTTGAGTCTACCTTTTAATACATAATTGGCAGTAGGTATTTTTAAAAGTCTAGTAGCAACTTTGGCCCAAGAACTTACACTAAATGTTGGCCTTCTGCTAAACATGTTATTTACAAATACTTTATGTGCCCCAGTAAACCAGCAGAACCGAACTCAAGCAGTGTGCCCTTGGTCCATTCAAAAACAAAACAAAACAAAAAAATGATTTAACACAAGTTTTGTCTTCTCAAGAACAAAACAAAATGATAATTCCTTAAGCTAATTTTGTAGGACAGAAAAATTTCTGTGCAGTTCCCAGCATTCACATGACAGTGTGCAGTGCCTGTGTCTGTGAATAGGGCTGTGTGTACTTGTGCATGTCTAAACCATCAATACATAAAAAGGTTTTCCCCTTGGTTTGTAGGTCAGCGATCCAGTGGCAGCTGAGTTTAGCCTGAACACCCACATGTACTTGCTGTCTAAGAAGAGCCTCTGGTTGTCTGATGGATCCATGGGATTTGGACAGGAGAGCGATACTGCTTTTGCCAAAGGTAACAATTTCCAGATGAGATGATGACCCACCTGTGCATCTGTGATGGTGTGCTTGCCCTATAGGTCTGTGATGTTTTATAGGAGTTTTCAAGGGAAAATGTATGAGTTTTGAAGACAGACCTGGTCTTTCCCACTTTGGCATGTGTGTTGAAACTGTGTAGATAATACTGTTTTGGTTTGGTTTGGTTTGGTTTGGTTTGAAGTATGGTCTCCCTGTAGCCCCAACTGGCCTGGAACTTGTTATGTAGATCAGGCTGGCCTCAATGTCACAAAGATCCACCTGCCTCAGTCCCAAAAGTGCTAGGATCCAAGGCATGCTCCTCCACATCTGGCTTGAATGGTTTTTAATATTCTGGGAAATGTAACCTTCCTTTTCTGTTACCCAGTCACCCAAGTGACTTTCGCAGCTAGTCTGGGGTATTTTTTTTTTTATTCTTTTCAATTTTCTTTAACTAAAATACTGCAGGGAGATTGTAAACACCTCAGAGGTGATGACTGTGCCTCCTTTGTTTGATGGTGTATACTCAGCACCTGTGCACCCAGGACCTTCAACAAGAGCTGTGAGATGTGGGATGGGATGCAGGGACTTTGTTACACCCACTGCCAAAAGCAAGTAAACTTAATTAAACTTTATCGGTACTTTCTTAACACTAGTCTACTGTTTTAGCCTTCATCTCACCAACTCATTTGTGTAAACTGGACTTTAACCACAAGGGGATGTTATAAAATGTCAAGTTCTGGGTCAGACCTTGAGATCACTCACTCTCACATGTGCTTGGGAATCAGAGACCCCATAATTCTTCAGTTCCTTGTGCTCTGTCCACAAAGTGACCAGATCTGAGTCCTGGGGAGTAAGCCAGATCCTGAAGCAGACACAGAAAGAATGTCAGCACTTTACAGCAAGTTAAGGAGCAAAGGAACTAATCTCTGTGCTGTCATCATCATATGCATTCTGTGGCATCCCCTCATATAACAGAAATCTCATTTCCACTTCTTTCAGGAGATGTGATTTATGGGCGTGTCATGGTAGACCCCGTCCAGAACCTCGGTGGCTCCTTTTACTGTAGCATTGAGAAGGTCTTCCTGTGCACGGGGGATGATGGCTATGTGCCCAAGTACAGCCCTGCGAATGCAGAATACGGCTGCCTAGCTGATTCTCCTTCCCTCTTATACAGGTTTAAAATTGTGGTAAGTGCTTTGACCCAGTGAACAGGGTCAAGTTTCAAGGCTAAGCCTTTTATCTATTTTTTAGAATATCATAATTTTAGGTAAATCACAAAGTGGCATTTACAGTCATTTGTACTTGCCCAAAATTAACAGAAAAGCATTCTGTCCTTGCAAATTTGGCATTGTCTATAGCAACCACTGCTCTCATTCTTGCTTCAAGGACAAATCTCAGCCAGAGACACAAGCCACCAGTTTCGGAGATGTCCTGTTTAATGCCAAATTGGCTGTGGATGACCCTGAAGCCATTCTCTTAGTGAATCAGCCTGGCTCAGATGGATTTAAAGTAGACTCAACACCACTCTTTCAGGTAGGTCCAGACAAGTTACAGCACCTACATAACTATAGGCTACTTTTGTCTCCATGTCTCATAAATAAACGGACGTAAATAATCATGCATAGAAAGAGTGGGAAGGCTTAATAAGGTAGTGTGCTCTGTAAATTCTAGCTATTATTGTTCTTACTAATGTGTTAATTTAAGACTGTGTAATGGATACTCTTATTCATCCTAGAATATAATCTATTTCTGGTAGTTGGTTAATTTACTTTTATTATTCCAAACTTCCTTCCTGTGGACTTTTCATGGCCCATCTTTTTAGGAGATCTTATATGAACTGAAAGGTTCAGCTATATGATCTTAGGATCAGATAAGCTCAGAAAAGCATCTGTGCACAAGATATAAACTCTCCACTACTGAAGATTCCACAGACCAAGACCAAAATTCCTGACTCAGGGACAAAAGATGTAGAGGGTTGTAGGTAGTCATAGCAACACTGAATGGACAGGTGGGGCACATTTAGAAATGTGTGCACATCATGACACCTTGGAGGAACAGGTATGTTTTTTAGTATATGTACTGAAAATTATGCAAACAGGATTTTTTTATAGCTTTTAAGTTTTAATTTTTCCCATTTTCAACATTCTTATAACTAAGACTTCCCTATTACCAGCAAGCTCAAAGATTAAGACAATGTCAGAATTCTTATTATTCTACAATACTTACTTATTCATTAGTGGGCTGTTAAATCTATGTTCATCCTTTGGTAATTCTGGGAAGCATTCTGAGAACATGCTTCTGTGTGAACATTTTATATACCATCTTTCCCAAAATACCATCTTTCCCAAAATCCTAATACATCTTCCTCTGACATCAAAAATACACGTGGCAAGAAGGAAAAATGTGCTGTTCCTACTCAACCTAAAGAAGGAGTCTGGGGGGTGGGGGGCTTAAAAATTGACCTTCCCCTGGTTTTACATGTAAATAGGTAACAAGATATATTCAAAGAGTTCAGAAGGTCTGAGCTCAAAACATGCCCCTGCCACTAACTAGATGAGATTGAGCGAAGGCATTGGGCTATGTTGTTTTTTGTTTTGTTTTGTTTTGTTTTTTAGTCTTTTTGAGACAGGGTCTCCCTGTAGCCCCAGCTGGCCTGGAACTCGCTATATAGACCAGGCTGGCTTTGAACTCTGAACTGTGTTCTTGTTGACTGAGACATCAACAGTTTTTTTTTTTTTGTTTTTTTTTTCCACGTTCCCATCCTGTGACTGCAAACACAAGCACATGGTTAGTTACCTCAGAGTGGCACAGGGGCTGAGGACAAAGGCAGTGATGCAGCAATTGCCTAGCATGCACAAGACCCTGAGATTGGTCCCCCTAAAGCTACAAAAAAGTGGGAGAGTTGCACCAAACATTACCAAGTCAGAGTACTTACTCAAAGCTTGGCACTTACTGTACACTAAAGAATGCGTTGTAAATGAGTTCACAGATTAAATGGCTATGTGTCATGACCTCTGACATTAATTTCTCTTGAAAATAGTCTTGAGTTAGGTTTATATAGAATTTAATTTCCTAACAAATAGGGTTGTGTTTTCTAGGTTGCTCTGGGCCGAGAATGGTACATACACACAATCTATACAGTGAGATCAAAAGACAACACCCATCGAGGTATTGGCAAAAGGAGTGTGGAGTACCAGTACCACTCACTGGTGGGTCAGGGACAGGCCCAGGCAGCTGCCAAAAGCTGGAAGAAAAGGAACATCAGGAGTACACCCCCACTGGCAGAGGAAATTGGTGCTGAAAACAATCGGGGAACCAACATCCAGCATATCGCCCTGGACCGTCATGACAAGAGGCAGGTCCCCCACGGCGGAGTTCCTTCTGATGGCATCCTGCCCTGGGAGCTCGGTAGTTCCACCCCTGAGGTCAGCCTGGTCACTGTCCTGGGAGGCATCGTGGTGGGATTACTTGCCATCTGCCTGGCTGTGGTTGCAGCAGTGCTGTGCAGGAGCAAGAAGAGTCTGGGGGACAAGGATGCTCCAAAGGACTCGGGTAGCAGTGAGCCCATGATGCCCCCTCAGAGCCACCACAGCGACAGCTCGGAGGTGTGATGATCGTCTCCTATGTGCCTCAGAAAAGATACACTAAAACCCCAAATGTTTGGGACCAATGGCAGAGAACTGGGGACTTCTGTGAAGAAACTGCTTGGAGCCCCTGACTTTGCTGAAGGACTTTGATTTAAATGGTGTCAGACCACATGTTTCCTGCTGCCCAGAAGGCATCAAGGATGTACTTGAAAGTGCACAGAGCCTTGGCGGTCTGGCAGAGAAGGAAGTTCTTTTTCTAGGCATTGATGGAGAGAAATCTACTCAAAGGTGCTAACAGACTCTCTGGGTATTTGAGAGAAGTCTATTGTTACTCTATCATTACTTTAGTGTGAACTTTGAAGGTGCAATTGTCACATTGTTTATTCATTGTATAACTCATTCTTACTAGAAAAGTTTGTATTGGTAGTTTGGAAGGGGAGGAACACACAGTTTATTATGACAAGTTTTCTAATAGGTGGAGACAGCTCGAAACCATGACCTGGGCTAGCTCAGCACCACAAATCACCTCTTTGTTGAGCAAGTGTAGAAAGAAAAAAGAAGGAAGGGAACCTCCTCATTTGGGTTTTAATTGCTACTCCTTCTCCTCAGACCTTTGTCTTGTTTGCTTATTTAATTTTAAATTAAACCAAAGAATATGTTAATTCTGGAAATGATTTTTAAGAGAGACTGCTCTGTTTGGTGTATAGTAACATTGAGCTCTTGCCTGGTAGTCTGCTTCAGTGGTGCTCAGCCTTTGTGAGGAACAAGAGGCTTAGAGACTATACGACAAAGAAATGCCAAGAGTTAGATTCCCTCAGGACAATGTTCTCTAAGAACTGAGCCTAGATATTTGCAGTATTGAACCCGTAAATGATAATGAGAAACATCTTTACCGACAGTGAAGGGTGAAAGCGGTGTTTATTGATATAATATGTATAGCAGAGTGCCTCATGCTTTCTAAAATAAAAGGACATGTTTGAGAAATGGCAAATGAGATTAGCCCTTAGAGTAAGTAATACAACCCCATGTTAACATCCAGAATTTAAATCAGCCAAAGGGAATTGTATTGGATTTCTGATCAGCTTCTGGTCTATGTGGTGGGAATCTCGGTGCATGTCACTCTGGAAATGACCTTGGCATGTGCCACCTGTCATGCTTTTTGATCCACGAAGAAAGCACCACTGTCTGATACCCCCCACCCCACCCAATTCAGTGAGCCAGCGCCAGGAGGTCCCCTAGGGATCTCATCTGTGGATTTTCACTCTGCTTATTCACTTAGTAAAAGCTTCCTTAGCATTGCCTGTCTTCAGAAATACGTTTTTACCAAATGTCAGAAATTTTGTTTGGAAGGGAAAAGCTTCAGTAGAGCAATGGCCAATTTTCTAAAAACCTAGTAAACATATTTCATACAAAAATGAAGTCAGGAGAAAAAGAATGCTCTAGAAGCCTCACCCTCAAGTGCTGCCTAGAGTGCTTCTCAGTTTAGCCACTTCCTGGCCAACCTATCCATCCCGCTGGAATGGACGTATTTGGAAGGCAAACTTCATGTTGGGCCATGCTAGGGTGATGTCTGTGAGTGCCAGCCGTCTCTTGATTGAGAAAGGGATGCTACACTGGTCCTGGGAGAGAGGTGACAAGTGTCTTATAATTGCCTCCCTTCTTTTAAAGCAGCTTGGCCCTTTCAAGGGATAAAATAGATTATAATATCCTTCTGGGGAGCTTAGCAAATTCTGCCTCCATCTCAAAGGCTCCCTTACAGAACTTACATAAACAGAAAGTACTTTCCATCCCAGAAGTTTATTAGAGTAAGTGGCAATAGATTATTGTCACCCTTTAATTTGAACTCCTGGCAGATGCTAAGCTCCATCTTTGGCTACCTCATAATTTGTCTGGGAATTAACATCAATTGAGCAGCTTTAAACAGTGCAGGGACTTCTTCCTACTTAGCATTGGGCTCAACTTCTGAAGACTATTAGAGCAACTATTCTCAAGTGACTTCAGTTACTTTTAGTAGTTAAGAGCCTCCTGGCTGAATGAATATAGTAATTATGACACACCACCATAATGTGTTTCAAGCAGACTGCTTTTATGCCAGATTCCACTTCTAATGAAGGTACTGTCTAAAATCAAGTAGCATATTAAATATGAAACTATCTCAGTATCTCTTCCCTTTCTCCCTCTCCTATTAGTATTTTTTCATCATTTAAAAATATTTATTTACTGGGGCTGGAGAGATGGCTCAGTGGTTAAGAATACTGGCTGTTCTTGCAAAGGACCCAGGTTTGAATCCCAGCACCCACATGGCAGCCAGCATGTCCATAACTTTATTTACTGGGGCTGGAGAGATGGCTCAGTGGTTAAGAATACTGGCTGTTCTTGCAAAGGACCCAGGTTTGAATCCCAGCACCCACATGGCAGCCAGCAACTGTCCATAACTCCAGTTCCAGGGGATCCAACAGCTTCTTCTGTCCTCCACAGGCATTGCATGACACAGGTGCACTTAACCTACATGCAGGCAATACACACATATACATAAAAGTAATAATTTTTTTAATCTATTTACTAAATATGTCACCTAAAATAGGAAAAGTAAGCAGAGAAAGGGTTCTGTCTAGCCATCTCACTTTGAATTCTTTTCCAGGGTAGCAGTTCCAAGTCAACATTAGAAGTGTGTGAAAACTACAGTCTTTCCTCATATTTATCCATGCCAGGATTCGAACCATTTCCAGGATGAGTAGTGTGAATGTGGCAATCTCAGAATTAAATATGATCATAGTTTGATTTTAAGAGTTGGAAAGTTAATTTGAAAATACATATTTAATGTTGACTGGGAAACCAATTCAGTCATCTGCTAGAAAAGGAAAATAATATTCACAATAATGAAGATGTTTTACAACTTGGAAATTCTCAGAACTGCATTATCTTGAAAACAACCATGTGACCATTTTTTGAAATTATTTTCTTTTTGTATCTATGACAGCAATAATGAAGAATATAAGAGTAATGAATACAAGAGTTTTCACCAACCACACCCCCATACCACCACCCACACCACCCACCACATTACTAAACACACTACTAACTGTACCAGCCACACTACTAACCACATTGCAAATGAATGGAATGCAAGTACCCAGGGACTTATTACCATAAAGCCCAGATACATGTAATTTGGCAGAAAACCACAAATACTATTAACATACAAACACACAGGTACACATAAAAAGAATCTTGCTTCTAGATAGAGATGTTACTAAAGGTATTGTTCTCACTGAAATAACTCACAGGATGACTTTCAAGGTCAATAGACAGGTCATTTGTGAAAACCTAACATAGGAGTCTCTGACAATTAAAAATTCCCTTAAAACATTTTCCTAGGATCGTCTTAATATCACATAGTAATAACAGAAATTTTCAGGAAATGTCCATCAGTCCGAAGTACCTTTCACTGCCTGTTTCTTCCCTTTTCCTTATGCCTCCTTGTCAAAGAACAAAATGCTTTGAGAATTGGGTGACTATTTCAATTTTGACAAGAAATTTAAAATAAAACATATTTTCCTTCCCTCTCCACTAGAAAGACTATACAGAAATCACAGAGAGAAAGCTGATTCTCTAACAAAAATTGATACAATAAAATATCCTAAATGAATGGTGTGACTCTCTTATTAGAACTCTCAGATCATTGAAAAGCTTGGTTTTCTTCCTGCCTTTCAAGTCCATTCACTTTCTTTCCTTGTATATTTTTCTTGTTTGGTCTGTTTTGCTAAAGAGCAACAAACAGAAAACTATCCCAGAAATGAGTTTCTTTCCTTCTTTAACAAATGGACAAGGTTTTTCTATGAGATTTCTTGATCGTTTTTCCAATAGTCTCTCCTCCTTGTGAAGCCATTACCACTCACTCTGCCTGTGTAGTGAGGGTCTCATTCATCTCAGCACTGGCTAGTCCACAAACCATGTATGCCGTGTATAAAATAGTAAAGGTTCAAGGTGAAAGAAAAGGAAAAAGAACGTCATGCCAAAGATCAAAAGGGTCATATTGAATAATAGGATTATCTGTGCCTTTGTTTTATTTTCTTACACTAAGTCAAACTTTGACATAAGATAAAATCCCTTTAAGATTTTCATTAAGAATAAAAGCCAAAGATCACATTTATGAAGTTCATTAGGATGACTGAATACTTTGTAATGAGATCAGCAGCCAAAGGAGATTGTTCAGATGTCAACAGCCCTGAAAACTTTCAGTTATAATTATTAAATGCCCAATTCTACTGTTAGGAGGTGGTATTTTCCCTGATCACATGACTGCTTCAACAACCCAAGTGGAGTTCTACATGGATTTTTTTTTAACCAGTGTTTGAATCAAAATTCTAACATAAGAGTTGTCAGTATTGTGCCTTTAAAAAAGAGAAGAAATAATGCAAATTTTAGCAAACTAAAAATAAATAGCATATAATAAAAATTACAATATAGAAAGGTAAACCTGGATAAGAATAAAGGATAAGTTCTGCAAGATCAATCACATGACAAAAAGTACTGTATAGCAGTGTTTTCCTGTGGCTTCAGGACTCCAAGCTTTCAGCAAGATATTTTTAAAGCCATTTATGTATAAAAGAAAGCTTTATTCTGGACCAGGAACTGTATGCTTTGTAATTGTATTAAGTGCTTACCTTCTTCCCAAGCGCCTTCCAATACACTTAACAAATTTATATTTATCTACCACTGAGAGGCATATCTGTGTATAATAGAATTATTTGCCTTATATCCTTTCCTATTTTCCCATGGGAACTCTTTGAAAACTGACAGGGTCTAGTTTCATCTCTTTACTAAGTTACTGGATATTTGCTGCATATTAAAGTTTATCTCTGGCAATCTAATTATGCAAATAGCTTTGAGTCATTCTCCTAAAGCCATGTTTTAAATAACTCTTACTACCATGTGTGCTACATAACTACATCTGTTTTCCTTCACATTATATCACGTGTTTAACATAAATAAAAGTCCTTATAAATACGTGTGTTCTGATG